TTCCCCCCATAGTCTTTCTAATTTTCTCTTCTGAGGCTTCACATGGGGACCAGTGGCTCCAGGATTTCTTCCTTCTGCTTGGTAGTTTTTCACAGGCATTTGGGGAATGGTAGAACTTGGGAAGATGTTCCACTCAGGTTGCATGGTGGCTTTTTAGTAGATGGCTGGATTCAAAACTCAATTCCATGGCTCAAATGGATGGAGGCAGCTTCTGGGTCTGTGTGCTCTGCTTCCAAAGGTTGTGTGTGGTCATCTGTGCAGGGCTGAAAGATACAAGAACAAGGGCTCCCCCCCCCTTTTCTGGGTGGATTCTCCCAGGAGAGGCAGACAAAAGGTATGGAAAACAAAGGACAAGAAAAGAAGATGTACATGAGGGTGAGGAGGGGTAGCTTGCAGGCAGTTTGAAAAAGCATTAATACTGCAGTGGTCAAGGAAACAGATAGGCAGACAAAATGAAATAATCCCAGATGACAAAAGAAAGACTGGATTCTGGTAAGAGAACATACATGAAAAGTTTCACTTCTGAACTTGAACATTTGCAACATGTTAAAGACAAAGACTTGCGACTTAAAAATGCTGGTCATGTTTCAGGAAAAGGATAGACAGATAAAACCCATTTAGAACATAAAACCCATTTACAACACATTGCAGAGTGATTTCCAGAGCTTGGGGCAGGAACCCAGCAGGCAGGACACCCCCCTCCTCACCCCAAAGAGAAAATACCTTGGCAAATTCAGGAAGAACCCAATACAAACTAGTCTGACTCAGTGGCAGCCTGAGGCTAAATAAACAAACACTTAACACACACTGGCTATAAGGAATACAGAACTGGCTAACAGCAATTAGGATTGACAGGATTAGAATAGAAACACCAAAAGGTACACAACAATAAAATGATTAACACCAGATCCCTCCTGGAACAAAAATTAACACCTTTTAGACAGAATTAAGAAGGAAATTAACCCAACAACAGACACTGACCAACAAATCAGAAAAGACAAATTTAAACTCACCAATCAGGAATGACAGTTTTGGAAACCATGAAAGGGTATAAGAACTCAACTAAGGTATGTAGGAAGCACATGACAATAGTAATGGGGGACTTTAATTACCTTGACATCAACTGGGAGACAAACTGCACCAAGTGGAAGATCAAACAAATTCCTGACAAACCTTGCAGACAACTTTGTTTCCCAAAAGTAGAGAAGGGAACTAGGGGATTAGCCATATTGGATCTAATTCTCACTAACAAAGACAAAATGATAGAAGGTGTTGAAGCCACAGGAACCTTGGGGGGGGAGTGATCATGCAATATTGGAATTCAACATTATGGAAGCACAAGCAATAGAACACAGTCAAACTAGAGTCTTGGACTTTAAGAGAGCTAATTTCAATAAACTTAGAGAGGGCTTGGGAGGGATTCCATGGATGAGAATACTCAAGGGGAAAACAACTCAAGAAGCTTGGGAAATTTAAAAAAATAACCCAGTCTAGCACAATACCAACAAAGAAGAAAAATAATAGCTCTCACAAGAAACCAGCATGGCTGCATAAAGAACTCTCTGATAAATTGAAAGATAAAAAGGACACGTATAAAAAGTGAAAAGAAGGGCACATAACTAAAGCAGAATATCAGCAACTAGTCCAAGCCTGCAAAGATGAGGTGAGGAAAGCTAAGGCTCAAAATGAACTAAGGCTTGTGACCAAAGTCAAAAATAACAAAAAGCTTCTTTCAACATGTAAAAAGCAAGAAAAAAGTGAAGGAAATGATTGGTCCATTAGTGGGTGAAAGTGGCAAGAAGGTGACAAGCAACAGGGAGAAAGCAGAACTATTTAATTCAATTTTTTTTGCATCTGTCTTTACACAAAGGGGGAAAAAAGTCCAACTTATCAAAAACAGTACCATAAAAAAAATAGATTAGAAACACAAGTTAAGATGGGCAAGAAAATGGTAAGTGAGCACCTATCCAGCCTGGATGAGTTCAAATCACCAGGACCAGATGGATTATGCCCCTAGGTTCTCAAGGGACTGGCAAATGTGATCTCAGAACCACTGAACTATATTTTTCAAAGATCCTGGAGCACTGATAAAAATAAAAATAGATCCGGGAAACTACAGACCCATCAGCCTGATCTCAATACCTGGGAAGATTCTGGAAAAGATAATCAAGCAAGAATCAGTGAACACCTAGGGCAAACAAAGTCATTACTAAAAGCCAACATGGGTTTGTTAAAAAAACAGATCATGCTAGACACATCTTACTGCATTCTTTGACCCAGTTACAAAATTAGTGGACTAAAGGAATGCTGTGGATATAATTTTCTTGGACTTCAGTAAGGCATTTGATAAAGTTCGTACAGGGTTTCCTGCCTGAGAAGGGAGTTGGACTAGATGACCTCCAAGGTCCCTTCCAACTTTATTATATATTATTAAATGCAAGAGTGAAACCTTTCTAGCAGATGAACTTAAAACGTTCCTCCTGCTAACTTTGGGCTGTTCTTAAGAGTACAGAGAGAGAAAGGGAGAAGAAAAACAAACAAACAAACAAACACAATTTTATTCTTCACTCTGTTTGTTGGCCAGACAAACAGAGTGAGGGTACAGTATTTCCTTTCAGTCGGTTAATTTAAGCAGAATTTCTAGCATAATTTTAAAATTATTTTTTTCTTTGGATTTGAAACAGTTAACAGTCACATTTACCTCACACACAAAGACTTTGACAAACATATATACACAGAGACAAGAGAACAGAAAAGGAAACAGAAGTCTTAGTTTTACACATCCTAGTCATTTCCACCATAAGTTTCAGATAGCTCAAATTAGGGAAGGCACAGATTTTAAACATACCACATGGTTGCATAGAGAAGAGAGAGAGAAAGAAAGAGAATCACTATTTTTTATTTTCCCTTAAAGTACCTTTATTTAGCCAAATTGGTTTCCCAGCAAAGCCCTAAGCAAAGTCTATTTTTTTTTTACATATAGTTTTTTTACCTATCTCTTTTTTCATACCTGCCTGAATGGGTAGCTGATTCCCATCCCAGGCCTCAAGCAAGCTTTACACTGGGGAGCCTATCTCGATCCTCAAACTAGAACACCCCATTATTCCCTTATATGCAGGGGTTCACTTTGGTTCTATCGGGTCTGGCGCACTAAAGCCTCCTAGTGAGACTTCCACCTACCACCACAGTTTTGGGTCAAAAAGGGACCCATGGAGCACTCTGGATCCCTCACAGAGTACTGGGACGCTCCTTTAGGGATCTACCACCATGGTTTCAGACCAAAAAATGAGTCTGTCGAGGACGCTTCTGCTCCCCTGCAGAAGGTACGGGACGCTCTTACCGGCTTTACCCTCACTTTTCACCACCACTGTTTGCAGACTTCAAATGTCTGGGACGACCTCTGCTTGCTTTCCAGAGGTAAGGGACGGTCCTTGCCCTGGGTTTAATTTCCTAACTTTGCTTTGCTTTGCTTACAGGGGCTTACCAGCTAGTTGCCCAAATCCAATTCTTTCATTCACTCATTCCGTTTCATTTTCACACAGCCTCTCCCTTTTCCCTAACAAAAGGTTCTGCACTCTGACCAAACCCCCATGTTTTCCAGGATCTGCCACTTGAACAGATCCTTTCTGCGGCTAGGAAAGATCAGAAGGAGCAGAATCCAACTGTGATTGGGAAAAGGGTCTTCTCACTCACACACACAGAAATACACACATTTCTCTCACTCCCCTGGGCTTTAAAGTTAAAATTTAGAGGTACTCACCTTCACCTTCTTTCCAAAGCAGCCCTTGAGCTCAAACCCAAAAACTCCCTTTACTACCTTGGCTCCACATGGGCAGAGCCTGGGAAACCCATCCACAGACACAAGGGGTCTGCTGCCGGCAAGATGGGGCTTACCAGTCTCAGTCCATTGGAGAGGTTAGCTTGGAGTCCCATCTCTGGGGTGCCAAATTGATGGATTAAAGTCTTCATCCTGATTCATCCAAACCGGGAATAAATAAGCAACATGGCGACTGCTTTGGGAAGAAGGTTACAGTTTATTGAAGAGGCAGAAAGATGGTTCTTGCAGGAAAGAGCAGAGGGAAGAAGGGCTGAGCACATGGGTAGTAGGTTTTTATACCCCCTCTAGCCTTTTGTTTGGAATAGTTTCCTGTTCCTGTGGCATGAACTTTGAGGCTATTTCATGTGTCACGTATTCTGACCTGAGTTTAGGTGTGCCTCTCTGGCCTTTGTGAGTTAATCCTATCATGTCCTTTCTCAGGTGGGGTATGCAGATTTTAGGGCTCTGTCTTCTTGATCTCCTAGCTGGGGCCTTTCTGATGGTTTACATTTGCATTTGTATAGAGCTGGCTTCTGCTTGGGACAGAGACTTGGGGACAAAGTTGGTTTCTGCTTTTTTAAAATACTTTTGAGGAAATATATTTTTCTGCCCTTTTAATATTTCCTTCTCTGGGGAGCTGACTTCCCACAATAGTTAATAGGCACAGTGATAGAGAAATAGAGACACAAATTACCAGATCCTTTAAATTTCTTTTTCTTCTCTTAGATATATGCATTTACACAATTGTTATGCATATAGCCATATATATATACATGTTAGCACTCTCCTGGTGTGCTGGACCAGTATAACTCTGGCCAGAGCATATATTAGCTTAAGGGTTAAACGCTGTTTCCTTAAGAGATGGCTTATGGGTAATGTAGTTATAGCTTAGCTAGTTAAGTGGGAGGAGTTTCAAAGTTTATGACTGTACTTCCTGGCTTTGTGCCTTTTGTATCATCTCCACATGGCTTCCAGCCCCGTGGCTTGGAAGCTCTGTGCCAACATGTGATTTATATGCAGGATGGGGAAAAACCACTAACTTTTTACCTAATGAAATGGATCCCAATTACCATTGTATTCCGGATGTATCTCAGCTTTAATCGTGAGTTATTGATGAGAATTCCTGTGAATTAAAGTAATCCATTTTTTATCTGTTCATTTGAGTAACTTCTGCTTGTCTCACGTGGATAGTGAAGCATTTAATCTGCATGGGCAGGACAGTAAAAAGTTAGTGAAAATTCTCTATGTCCTGCTTGAATGAAGTGAAGAATTAATGCTAGTAGATTGCATCCTTGCAAGTAAAAACAGTAATCCCTGCTCTCCTTTCACTAGAATAGATGAGCATGCGTGTTTCTCTCTTCGTCAAAGTAAAAAAGAGATGAATTGTGCTCCATGCATCTGCTGGCAGGCAAAGTAAAGGACTGTAAATATTCTTTATGTTTGTTCTAAAAATACCAGTTTGCTACTGAATCTGTTTGCCAGTCAATGTTTTAAAGTAAAGAATTATTGCATGCTTCTCCCTCGCTGAGTAAAAGCAGTATTTTCTGTCTGCTAACGGTTAACCAACGTTGCAAAGTAAAGGGAAAAGCTTAATGTCCGTGTTGCTAAAATCAATGAAGAGTTGTGTGTGCATCTTAGCTAACTGCTTTGAAGAGGAAACCTTTGTAATTAACTCTTCACATGACTTTTAACTGGCTGTCTGCTAACAGCGTTTGCAAAGAGCCATCAAGCCCCTCCTCCCCTCCTCTCTGTTGCATGGAATCAGAAAGACTGTGTGTCTGTTTTTAGCCTGCTTGTAATCTAAGCTAGCTAGCTGAATTTGCATTTGAAAGCCAAGTCACTGCAAAGAACCAGCATTTCTGATTAAAGCTGTGCCTTTATGCAAAGCCAAAAGAGTGACTTTGAATTGCAACCAAAAACCCCTCCCCTTCTGTGGCACTTTGCAGAGAAAGAAAGCACCAACTTCCAGAGGCCCCTTTGGGGAGGGTAATAAAAAAGTAATAAAACCAGGCAACTGGGTGTAAAAGGCTAAATTCTATCCCAGACGGCCCCTTCCCTTGGAATTAAAGGAATTTGTTTCAAGACAAAACCCATCTCAAGCAAAGGCAATGCAGTACCCCCCTCTGGTGGCCAAACTGCAAATTACAAGCTTGAATTCCACTTATCAGCATTTTCAGGCTGAGATAAGCTGTTCATAGGAGACCTACTCAGTACAAGGAGAGACAAGCAGCAAATTAACCTTGCTTATTATCACAAGTCTTCACGCCTAGGTGGAATCTAACTGTCAGCTGTCCTCTGCCTGCTGCTGACAAACTCCAGACACAGAAGGAACAAGTGACCAGCAAACTTTAATGCAAAGAAAAAGTCAGCACTGGGAGTGAATTGCTCCCAGTGCTTTACATAGACGTGCCCCGCCCTCCAACCCCACCCCAATCAGCAAGCCAGCATCCAGTCAGTATGGATAAAAGGCGTAGTTCAATGTCCGCTTCACCTGAAGCAATCACTCAAACAAGCAGTGACCCCTAATGGTCAAAGGGTGAACTTCACTGAAGTACCCACGTACGCAAGAGAGCGCCCCTCAGTGGTGCCTCCACCCACAGACAGCACCCCGGTGGCTGATCTGCAAGCAGTGACCCCTAGTGGTCAAAGAGCGAAGTTCACTGAATTCGCTTCAAAATAGCTAGGAAGTTTACTGAGCCTGTCCTAGCCATGGCGGAGTGTCTCCTTGATTTAGAAGACTGGGTTCAACCAACCAGCCTAGATGAGCCACCCCAACCAGCCAGCCAAGGAGAAATGCTGCAACCAGCTAACCTTGACCTGTGCACAGAGGCTGATGTCCAAGCTTCAGTGAAGCCAAAGACATCCCAGATACCCTATGACCTGAGGCAACAAAGAAAGCCTACTGAAGCCATGCGGTCGAACCTGTTGGAGAAATGGGACACCATCCGCAATCGTCATGAAAGGCACTGGGAGAAATTACAGAAACGCTACCAAGTGCCTAAGGAGGAGCTCTCCCCCAAACGTGCGCTCTCATTGGAAGATGATAGGGAAGAGTTTTTCTGGCAATGGATCGACTCCGAACGCCATCTCGAAAGGATCCAGTCACAACTAGGTGACCCAACACTCGATAGCATGATGCAAAGCCTCAAGCTAAAAAACAAGGAACGTAAAAAGTTTCTGGAGAGTATAGACGAACCACCCGCCTTTGCTGGTCTTGCAGAATTCGTAGCCAACCAAGCAGAACTGTGCAATAATGCCAGCAACTTTGAAGACACAGAAAAATCGCTTCCAGCACCCAAACGCACCAGTCAGAATTTTGGCACTACCAAGGGTTCTTTCCAAGCCACAAAGGGCAAAACTCTTATTTCCGTACACAAGACAGAGGTCACGAACTGGCCAAAGAAGACTTCAGACAAGCAACTGCCGAGGAGTATTTATTCCGAACCTCGCCTATCCAATAAAGGTCTGACTTGTCCACTTCATAAATCTTCACACTCTCTAAACAAATGCAGAGAATTTGGAAAGAAGTCCCTGGACGATCGAAAGGCTCTGCTCAAAGAGCACAAGATATGCTACAAGTGCTGTGACTCTATGGATCACATAGCCAAAGATTGCACAGTTAGGGTGAAATGCCACCTATGTAACAGTGACAAGCATCCGGCAGCCTTACATCTAGACTCTATGAAGCCCTCTACGAAGCCACCACAAGCAACCTCGACCCCTCCCACGACGACAGAGCCTCAACGTGCTTCCAAAGAGCACCCAGTAACGATCGGGGCATACTGCACAGCAATATGTGGTGACTCACTGCGCCCTCGTTCGTGCTCCCCCATCTGTCTAGCTAAAGTCTACCCCGACGGGAGACCAGAAGAGGCTGTAAAGATGTACGTCATACTAGATGCACACAGCACTGCCACAATAGCTAAGTCAGCATTTTTCGACCTCTTTGATCTCCCGACTGAACTAACGGATTTCACAATAAAAACGTGCACAGTACCAATGAGCACGGCGGGGAGGAAAATTTCTGGACTACGCATAGAATCGATAGACGGGAGTTCACAGTTCCTGTTGCTACCAGTGTTGGAATGGGAGACCTTACCAGATGTTCGCAGCGAAATTTCAACACCAGAGGCCGCAAGAAACATACTGTGATGACCCAGGGCCCCGAACGGAGGCAAAGCAATCAGCTGGCAAGAGCAATACTCTTTTTAATCACTACCAATGTTCACCCAAAAGCCCCCACATATGCTGGCACAAGTTCAAACAAAACAGCCAGGGAAGTTTACACTGTTCTCAAGGCAAGACAGATAAGAAAACGTAGAATCCTTTTAACTCTCAGCTTGCCTGTGAACTGCAAACTGAAAACTGCAGACTGCAAGGAGAGATCAAGAATGTAGTCTGTGGTCATGCAGCAGGAAACAAACTGGTCCGGAATACAAAGTGTCCAGGTTACAAGAGGACAATTCACACTATCTCAAGATTTCACGTTTGTTCCCGGCAAATGTCCCACCCCACAGCGTCTCCTTAAATCCTACTCCCCAGGTGTGCCTTGTGGAGTGGGACGGGATGCTCTCCTCCTGAGCAAGTGAGCCTGCCTCCGTTGTTCCCTCCTCCTCTCTGCTCTCCTTGCTCTAGGATCAGGTGGGGAGGGGCCTTGCTCCTCGCCTGAACTCTGCCTTCCCTGTTCCAAACCTGAAGGGCCCTGGCCTGCCTCAGCCTGCTCCTCCCTACAGTCCTCCGAAGCCACAGACACCCCCTCCTGGGCCTCAACAGGGAACTCCATATCTTCCTCGGAGTCAGGCTCGGACGGAGGCATGACACATACCTCACCTATCACACATAGCCGATCAAATCCCTCCCCTAGATCCTGAAGCCGACATCCTACTTATGGTGGGACGAGATGCCCCTGAGTCCATTGGTTCCGATGAAAGAGTCAAAGGTCCACCAGGTACCCCAGTAGCTATTAAGACGGAACTCGGATGGGCCATCGGAGGGTCGGTATGTATTGATAAGCTGCAAACCCCAACCCAGGTGAACGTCTCAGCGACCTCCATTCTTAGTACTGGGAGAGCCTCCCACCTAAAACCATGCCAAGAACACTTCACGCTTTCGACGGCCAAGCCTGCTTTAGGAACGACAGTGTTCCAGACCAGGGAAAACGACAATGACGTGGGCCCGTCAATAGAAGACAAAGAATTTCTAGAGCTCATGGACAAGGAATGTCTGCAGGATGACACAGGGAGTTGGGTAGCCCCACTGCCTTTCCATATACCCAGGCAGCGCCTACCTAATAATCATGAGCAAGCTCTCTCTCACCTCAACAACCTGAGGAGAGTCATGAACAAGAAACCAGAATTGAAAATGCATCTAGTAGAGTTCATGGAAAAGATGTTCCAGAACGGACATGCAGAGCCTGCCCCAACAATGAAGAAAGATGAAGAGTGCTGGTACCTACCATTCTTCGGGGTGTACCACCCACAAAAGCTAGGGCAGATAAGAGTAGTCTTCAACGCCAGTGCACAGCACCAAGGCATCTCTCTGAACAAGGTCCTTCTCACAGGGCCTGACCTCATCAACAGTCTGCTTGGAGTGCTCATCCGCTTCAGAAAAGAAGCTGTGGCAGTCATGGCTGACATCCAGCAGATGTTTTATTCGTTCTACATAAGGGAAGATCATCAGAACTACCTGCGCTTCCTGTGGTTCAGCGATGACCAACACAACCAGCAGGTAATCGAATACAGAATGCGAGTACATGTTTTTGAAAACGGTTCTTCCCCCGCAATCGCTAATTACAGCCTGCAACGCACCGCCCGTATAGGTGAAGCCGAATACAGTGCCGACGCCAGACGCTTCGTAGAATGGGACTTCTACGTCGATGACGGCTTAAAATCTGTACCCACTCCTGCAGAAGCTATAGACCTAATAAAAAGGACACGCCAGATGTTAGCGGCAGCTAACCTTAGGTTACACAAAATTGCATCCAACAGCGAAGAAGTGTTGGCGGCCTTCGATCCTGAAGACCACGCTAAAGGTCTAAAGGACCTCGACTTTGGCACAGACGATCCTCACTTCCAACGTAGTCTCGGCTTGTGTTGGGACTTGAAGAAGGACATCTTCACCTTTAGAACTCCGGCAAAGGACAATGCTTTCACGAGGAGTCTTGTCTACGGTAAATAGCCTGTTCGACCCTCTGGGTTTTGCTGCACCCATAACAGTCCAAGGAAAACTTCTTTTGCGCTCACTCTCCCAACACACCACAGACTGGGACAAGCCGCTTCCGCTAGAGCACAGGCAAGAGTGGGAGACGTGGTGCAAATCCCTGAGTTGCCTTCAAAGCATCTACATACAACGCACGTATGCTCCACTTTCTCTAGCCGCTGCAACGAAGAAGGAGCTGCACGTGTTCTCAGACGCTTCGACGAAGGCTATTGCAGCTGTAGGTTACATCAAAGTCTACAGCGGGGAGAGTTACAACGTTGGTTTTGTCATGGGAAAGGCAAAACTAACACCACTACAAAGTCACACCATACCCAGGTTAGAACTCTGTGGTGCCGTTCTAGCCGTAGAGATAGCAGACCTGATAACAAAAGTGATGGACCTCGAGTTACAATCCACCACCTTCTACACAGACAGCAAGGTGGTGTTAGGCTACATCTACAATTGAAGCAGACGCTTTTACGTCTACGTAAGTAATAGAGTGGAAAGGATCAGAAGATCCTCAGACCCTGATCAGTGGCGATTTGTGCCAACAGATCAAAATCCAGCGGACCAGGCTACACGGTCTATTCCTGCATCACAGTTGGCAGACTCAGTTTGGTTAAAGGGTCCTGAGCTTTTGGCGTATCCAGATGGCCAGACGTCAGAAAAACCAGAACACTTTGAGCTGCTAGACCCAGATCAGGATGACGACGTACGACCTCAGGTACCGAACAAATCACTCAGTCAGGGCAAAAAAATGACCGCCCAGATTGTCTGCCTGTCTACAGACATCAAGGAGACAGAAAAATCGTCTCTCCATTATTTCCTAGATCCCACTCGCTTTGAACGCTTCTCCAGATGGAGACCTCTCGTAGCAGGCGTGGCAGTGATTGTTCGTTTCCTGCACCATGAGATGAACTTCCCAGACAGCTGTCTCCAGGCCGAGAGAGGGATTCTTCGAAGTGTGCAGTGAGATGCATACCCACTGGAATTTGAAGGTCTGGAAGCTAGAAAGACTATCCCAAAGTCTAGTTCACTGCTGAAATTGAACCCATTCTTGGATAGTCACAACTTGCTCCGAGTAGGAGGACGTCTAGACAAGGCTGAGATGGCTTCAGACTTCAAGCACCCTATAATCCTTCCAGCCCGTCAACATGTCACGCACCTGTTGGTTCAACACTACCACGAAACCGTCCATCATCAAGGCAGACACTTCACGGAAGGTGCCATCAGAGCGGCTGGCTTCTGGATCGTGGGGGTCAAAAGATGCATCGCCACCGTCTTGTACAGATGTCTACATTGCCATAAACAATGAGGTGAAACACAACACCAGTTGATGGCTGACCTGCCACCCGAGCGCCTCACCCCAGGACCACCATTTACCAACGTAGGCCTAGATGTATTCGGACCTTGGTCCGTATCTGCTTGCCGAACCAGAGGTGGTCAAGCCAACAGCAAACGTTGGGCCGTACTTTTCACATGTCTCAGCATTAGAGCGGTCCACATTGAAGTCATCAAATCTATGGACACTTCTTGTTTCATCAATGCTCTAAGAAGATTCCAAGCCTACAGAGGCCCAGTTAAGGTGTTTAGGTCCGACCGCAGAACTAACTTTGTAGGGGCCTACAGGGAACTGCAGGCATTCATCCAGATTCAGACATTGACAAGTACCTAAAGGCCCAAAATTGTGTTTGGACATTCAATCCTCCCCATGCATCTCACATGGGAGGAGCGTGGGAACGCATGATTGGCGTAGCCCGCAAAAGCTTGGACTCTATGATGACTAAGACACCCACACTAATGCATGAGGTCCTCACCACCCTCATGGCAGAAGTAGCAGCTATCGTCAACGCTCGAACGTTGATTCAAGTCTCGTCGGATCCTGAAAATCCAACTATCCTCACCCCAGCTACCTTATTAACCCAGAAGACAGGCGATTGGCCAGCACCATTGGGGAAATTTGTTCCCAAAGACATGTATAAACAACAATGGAGGCAAGTTCAACTACTGGCCAACACCTTCTGGAAGCGCTGGAAGCAAGAATACTTGTCTACCCTTCAGGATCGCCGCAAGTGGAAGACCAAAGAGCCCAACCTACAAGAAGGAGACCTTGTCTTGCTGAAAGACAAGGACACCCATCGGAACTCTTGGCCCATGGGACTTGTGCATCGGGCCCCATCCAGTTCTGATGGACTAGTTCACCAAGTTGAGGTCCAGATCATGAAGCCACATGAGTCAGATCGTGACTCAAAGACTCTCGTGAAAAGGCTTTACACCAGGCCAATCACCGACCTGGTCCTGCTGCTGAAGAAGACCGAACTGGAAGATTGATCCTCAAACTATGTATATTGTGTTTACCTCATGATTGCATTGTTTGATGTAACACCTTGTTTATCTCTGTTATAGTTGTGCATGTCTTGTATTTACCTTATAGTTATGCATGTTTTGATACCATGTTTTTGCCTATTTTAGTTAATAGTTAGTAATGAGAATTGCATGCTTTGATGCTATGTTTTTTGCTTATTTTAGTTAGTTAGTAGTGGAAATTTATATTTCCAAGCGGGGAGTGTGCTGGACCAGTATAACTCTGGCCAGAGCATATATTAGCTTAAGATCTGTATGTCAGAATGTTTGGCATTTAAAGGGTTAAATTCTGTTTCCTTAAGAAATGGCTTATAGGTAATGTAGTTATAGCTTAGCTAGTTAAGTGGGAGGAGTTTCAAAGTTTATGACTGTACTTCCTGGCTTTGTGCCTTTTGTATCATCTCCACATGGCTTCCAGCCCTGTGGCTTGGAAGCTCTGTGCCAACATGTGATTTGTATGCAGGATGGGGAAAAACCACTAACTTTTTACCTAATGAAATGGATCCCGATTACCATTGTATTCCGGATGTATCTCAGCTTTAATCGTGAGTTATTGATGAGAATTCCTGTGAATTAAAGTAATCCCTTTTTGATCTGTTCATTTGAGTAACTTCTGCTTGTCTCACGTGGATAGTGAAGCATTTAATCTGCGTGGGCAGGACACCTGGCCTTAGAAAATATTATCTTCTGTTCAAAATTACATTGATATTTTTGATAATGATTTACTATTTTCCTTTTGTGTAGTGTCAACAGACATTTTTGATCTTTATGATGCTCTTTCTGTGGATACCACAACAGCTCCCCCGAGAAAGCCAGAAAATCAGGGTAAGCAATAAGTGTAAAAATTGAAAATTTGCATTTTATAAATGTTATAATTTATCTTTAAATGGGAGAGCTCTTAGATTCACTGAAAATAAGTAACATTTCTTTTTTTATATTAACGTTTGTAGAGTATGTTGTTTTAAATCCAGCGTTTTAGAAACCTCAGTTTTTGTTAACAAATTAGATTTTTCTGAAGACAAGCTTGGGTATAAGCTATATATAGTGAATTGCCATCCATAATTTCTAGCTCTATATTGATTAGAAATAAAGGGGGTTCAGTGTTAGTGAAAATGGGTAAAACCAGGTTCTATCAACCCCACTTGGAAAGCAAAATAATGATTATAAAGTCATGAAAAGGGGCATTCTCTATGTACTCAAATGCAGTTCTTTATTGCTCATTCAGATATATTAGGATTATTCTGGAAAGAGATTTTTTTATAAAAATCACAAAGGATGTTGCCAGCGTTTTCCCCCCTGGCAAAATGACAGTACCTTTAAAATTGATGGACCTGGAACTTCAGCCTGTGACTCCCTCCCCCCACAATGGAGTAGAATACTGAGATGAAAAAAATATATCACCAGTTGAATTTCTGTTTGTTAGGAAACTACTAAAATACTCAGGAGGCACTCAGCTGGACATTGGCTGTGATAAGTTGAGAACAGTAGAGGATAGCTTTGATTCTGAAATGAGAGTCTTCCCTTTGCTCCTTTCTTTCCAGAGTGTCCAAATATTGCCCGAGACCTTGTGTTACTGATCGATGGGTCAAGCAGCATTCGATCTGTGGAATTTCTTTCACAGAAATTATTTGTCGCACTCTTCAGTAAAACTTTTCTTGAAAATACTCTGGTCAGTTGGAGGGATGGAGAATCGCGTAAGGGGGATAATTTTTTCAATATGGATTGCTCTCTGAAGCCAAATAAAACAGGATGGAATGCAGTAATGGGAAAATACTTTGTTCTTCTGAGCGGGACTTTCACAAGACAGTTGAGGCACCCATCATAGACCTTGGGGAGGAGAGGGATACCTTTGTGAGCCATGATAAGAAATGGTGCAAAGAAAAGAACTGCCTAAAACAGGGGTCCCCAACCTATGGTCCGCGGCCTGGTACCGGGCTGTGGCCTATTGGCCACCGGGCCCTGGGAATAACTGGCAAGCCCCCCCCCCACTAATGGTAGCACCCCTGCACAGGCATTAGCGGCCCCATTTGCGCATGCGCAGGAACGCTAGCACTGCCGCATCACGTAGGCACCGGCGGCCCATTTGCACATGCACACAGGCATCAGCGCATGCATCATGGGTGCGAGCAACCCACTTGTGCATGCGCACACACGCTACTGCTGCTGTTGTGCACAGGCCCATTTGCATTTCCCTGCTGCTCCTTTTCCTTCTGGGCCGCCAAGCTGGAAAAGTTGGGGAACTCTGACCTAAAAGGTTTACAATTTAGTTTGTAGAGACAAAGGAAGGAAGGAAGGAAGGAAGGAAGGAAAGGAAGGAAGAAAGGAAGGAAAGAAAGAGAGAGAGAGAGAGAGAGAGAGAGAGAGAGAGAGAGAGAGAGAGAGAGAGAGAGAGAAAGAAAGAAAGAAAGAAAGAAAGAAAGAAAGAAAGAAAGAAAGAAAGAAAGAAAGAAAGAAAGAAAGAAAGAAAGAAAACCAGACCATGGAGCATTAGGGGATCAGCGTCCATTGCAACAGATATTCAGATAGTCCTTGACTTATGACCTGATTTCAAAATTATGATGGCTGCATACCACCCTCCCTTCCTCTGGTCATGTGAATTCATTTTTGGTGCTTGGCAACTGGCTCACCATTGGTGCCATTTGCAGCATCCTGGTCACGTGCTTGTGATTTTTGATGGTTGTTGCCGGTTTGCAGCATTTACTTCTGGTTTCTAGCAAAAAAAACCTCCATTGGATAAAATGGATTCACTTAAATAACCTGAACTGGAAGTATAATCCAAACAGTAAAAGAGCCAAAATCACAGCCAACACAGTGCTAGGCTGCATTAACAGAGGGATAAAATCAAGATCAGGTGAAGTGTTAATACCACTTTACAATGCCTTGGTAAGGCCACACTTGGAATACTGCATCCAGTTTTGGTCACCACGATGTAAAAAAGATGTTGAGACTCTAGAAAGAGTACAGAGAAGAGCAACAAAGATGATTAGGGGACTGGAGGCTAAAACATATAAGGAACAGTTGCTGGAATTGGGAATGTCTAGTTCAATGAAGAGAAGGACAGAGGACATGATAGCAGTGTTCCAATATCTCAGGGGTTGCCACAGAGAAAAGGGAGTCAAGCTATTCTCCAAAGCACGTGAAGGCAGGACAAGAAACAACGGATGGAAACTAACCAAAGAGAGAAGCAACCTAGAACTAAGGAGAAACTTCCTGACAGAACAATTAACCAGTGGAACAACCTGCCTCCAGAAGCTGTGAATGCTCCAACACTGGAAGTTTTTAAGAAAAGACTGGACAGCCATTTGTCTGAAATGGTATAGGGTGTCCTGCCTGAGCAGGGGGTTGGACTAGATGACCTCCAAGGTCCCTTCCAACTTTATTATTATTATTATAATTTGAACTGGATTCATAAGAGTTCAGGGATGATCTAACAAATCATCCAAAAAGCATCAGCTTGGGCAAGGCTGACCTTGCCTGTTGTGGGAACACAGCTAATTAATAAATGAATATGAATTGTTCAGAAATTCCAGATGGCTGTTTTCTCATTCATCCTCTTTTTCCTCCCCTCCTCAGTTCTCCCTCCTGCAGTTTTCCAACAAAATTCAGGAGCATTTTGACTTCAGAAGTTTCCAAAATGACCGAAACCTACACTCCATCCTACAAGAAGCCCGTCAGCTGCATGGCTCTTCCCACACGGCCACTGCCATCCGGAAAGCTGTGTAGGTCTCTGGGCAGCCTTTCCTCTTCCCCAATCCTGGTCTGGGCTCCTTCCTGCTTGGTTGGGTCTAGGCAGGGCTCACATCCCCTATCATGGAGCCATGGCCATGGAAGAATCCTCAACCCTTGGAATGTCTGCTGCTAGACCAGGATACGGGTCTGGAAAAGGAAGTGGGCAATGGCACTTCAGTCTCTCTGTCTCTCTCCCTCCCTCCCTCTCCCTCTCCTATTTATTAGGGAACAGTTCACCCCTCAGAAAGGCGCTCGCAGCAATGCCAAGAGGTTCCCGGTGATTGTGACTGATGGAGAAAAAACTGGGGATCCCTTGGACTATGCAGAGGTTGTCCAGGAGGCTGACAGGGCTCGAATCACACGCTTTGCTGTTGGGGTGAGGTCTAGCTTATTTGCCTGTCTTGTCCTTTATTTCTGCATTTTGCTACCCCCACCCTCAGGGAGCTTAGATGAGTGTTTCTTAACCTTGGCAACTTGAAGATGGCAGCTTTGCCAGAATCCCCCACCCATCTTCAAGTTGCCAAGGTTGAGAAACACTGATGTAGATGATAGAGCTCAACCAGGATCATGGAGAAGGCCACTAGGGTCCCCTCTTTTGTTGTTTTTCATTCTTTTATTGCTTTTATTGTTTTTACTTTGCTTTGTTAACGGCCCAGAATTATGTACAGTGGTGCCTTGGTACCCAACTGCTTTGAAACTCATTGAATTTGGTATTCAATGCATTTTGATGTGAAAATGTCATCCCGGTACCCATTGTTTATTTGGTACTCAATGCACAAGCTAGAACTTGTCGGTGTCGGCTGCCTTGTGACTTACTACATTATTCCTTATGGGAAAAATTTGTTTGGTACTCATCGTTTTTGGTACTCATCGTGCCTCCTGGAACTGATGAGTACCAAGGTATCACCGTATATGAAATGGATGGCCTATACATTTATTAAATCAATCTGTGCGGCAGTCATACACATAGACACCTATATCTATAAGTATCTAATTGCAATGAGGCCTGATTATTTATTTATTTATTTTATTTATTTTATTAAATTTATATCCCGCCCTTCTCCTTGCGGACTCAGGGCGGCTAACAATCGGGTAAAAATACACAAATAACATTACAAATTTAAAAATTAGTTAAAAAGGAAATATTTAAATTTAATCTAATTAAAATATAATTAAAACCCCCTCTAAAAGTTATCCCACCTTCCTCTCTTTAACTATTCCTACATTAATTCTTATTTTGTTGGAATTAATGGGGGGTATTGCAGAATGTTGTTTGAAACCTGTGTGTGGTTGTTGTGTTTGGTCTGTGTGAGTGTGAATATGTACTTACTGCTTTGACTTTTATTTCATGAACTAATTTTATTGGACGGAGTTTTTACTAGGTTGTTCGGAATTGTACCACACCTTTGTAAAGGCACAGATTAATAACTATTATTATCACACATTATCATCATTGCTACCAAAATAAAAATAGTCGACTTCAACCCAGTGCTCTCTGTGAAAGTGTGTGTATTGGTCCAGGAAAAAAATGAAATAAATGAACTGAAATAAATAAAATAAAATAATACAAGTAAGATGAGAATGGTAAGGAATATCCCAGAGAGAACTGGAAAGGATAGTATAAAGCTTTGTCACCAATTTGTCTTCTGCTATACAGTTTATGACAGATTATAGCAGCTATTTTACCAGTGAGCAATACATAAATTTCTCTTCTCCACAACAACCATTTTGTTAGTATGTCCATGTCACACTCTCAGACTTCCAAATGAACTCAAAAAGATTGTCTGTCTATAATACAAGTACTTCTTGTTTAGTGACTACCTTGTTTACTGACCATTCGGAGTTACAATAGTGATGAAAAAATAACTTTGGGACCAATGCTTGCATGTGTGACCTTTGCAGGTCAGTAAAGCAAAGGAAAGCTGAAAGGAAAATGATGAGCCCAGTTGCAATTTTACTTAACAACTGAATTGCCAGGCCCCGTTGGAGTTGCTAAATGAGAGCTACCTGTATTTCCAAAGCTAGTCTTAAGCACAAAAGTTTTCTAATGGCAACTGCTTGCCAAGTTTTCAATAGGGACAGCGTGCTCATTGGGTAGCAACCAAGAGGAATCTTTTCTTGCTGTCGGCAAACTGCTAAGTCTGCAGTTTCCAAGGGTGTTTGGAAAATGTGTTTTCCAAAAATCAGTCCAGCTTGATGGTAACAGTTAATAATTAACCTGTTTGAAACCTAAGGAGGAGGAGGGGTTGATGTGTAATTATCAACATTTGCAAACTGAACACTCCCTTACATGTTCTGTCAGAGCTGTTTTGGTGTTGCTTTGTGAGTGGTACTGCACCAGCTTCCTGCAACTTGACTGCAATGCCTCTAGGGCAGTTTATCAAGCAGAGGCTGTGTTTTCTCGTTGTCCTCCTTGGTAAATCCTTGCCCCTTGTTCTGTTTTTGCCTGTTGAGGATGCCATAACATTCCTCCCTGCAGCAATCTTCACCTTCCTTTCCAGATTTCCTGGATTAAAAGATAAATTTCAGAGCACGGTTGCATTGCTGCAGTGTTTCTCAAACTTGACAACTTTAAGATGGGGCGTTGTCTTACCTGAACGCCTTTTCTCAGCACGGAGATGGAGAATCCACCAATGGGTTTAGACTGTGTTCCTGCCCAATCAGATCAAGTCAGCCAAACCTGCTACGCCTGTCCTGGACTAAGGTGTCCCAGTCTCGACGTGGCCGAAGCCATTGACTGACAGTATGACGTGTTGGCTCACAGAACCTAACCCTAGGCCTAAAGGACCTGAGAGGGTGGGACTGGATTCTCCATCTCCGTGCTGAGAAAAGGCGTTCAGGTAAGACAACGCCCCTTCTCCAGCACAGGAGATGGAGAATCCACCAATGGGACATACCAAAGCCTACTGTCCCTGAGGGAGGGAAGCAGACAGGCCCGGTGTGACGCCTCGAGGTACCACCTGTTGGAGAACTCTCCTGCTAAAGGAGGCCTCTGCAGAGGCGAACCTGTCCAGTTTATACTGTCGTATGAAGGGCGAGGGTGAAGACCATGAAGCCACCCTACAAACGTCCTCAATGGACACCTGAGTGGCCCATGCCGCAGAGGTAGTTGCACTGCGCGTTGAGTGGGCCGTGACCCGACGTGGAACCGGCAAGGAATCGGACTGGTACGCCCCCGCAATGCACGCCCTGATCCACCTACCAATCGTGGAGGCAGACACCTTCCGACCCCTGGAAGAAGGGTGGAAGGAAACGAAGAGGGCCTCAGAGTTGCGGAAGGCAGCCGTCCGTTTGATGTAACAACGGAGCGCCCTACGAACGTCCAGAAGGTGCCATTGCCGTTCCAGATCATGAGATGGATTAGGGCAGAAATCTGGAAGCACGATTTCCTGAGCACTGTGGAATAGGGAGTTAACCTTAGGGATAAAGGTAGGGTCCAAACGAAGGACCACTCGGTCCCGGTGAAAGATGCATAGGTCATCCCTGGTGGAAAGTGCCGCTAACTCAGATATCCGTCGTGCGGAAGTGAGTGCCACCAGGAAGGCGACCTTGAGAAATAAGGATCTCAGATCGCACGTCCTGAGAGGCTCAAAGGGCGGCCTGGTGATTGCCTGAAGAACCAGCGGCAGTTCCCAAGAGGGATACCTATGCACCCCAGGGGGCTTCGTGTTTGTGGCACCCTTGATGAACGAGCGAATCAATGGGTGTTGACCTAGGGATGTCGCGGTGTCACAGGTAAGTAGGGTGGAGAGAGCTGCGACTTGTCTGTGTATCGTATTCCGTGCTAAGCCCCTCTCTAGACCCTTTAGAAGGTAGTCTAAGATTCTTGGAATCGTCAAGTCCGATATAGTCAAGTGATGGTTTGTGCACCACAAGCAGAAATTCTTCCACGTGGCCTCATAAATACGGTTGGTAGCAGGCCGTCAGGAGGCCTGGATCATGGAAATGATGCCTGGCGAGCAGGACTCCTGGGATAAGATCCTGCGCTCAAGTGCCAGGCAGCTAATTGGAGCCATTGAGGATCCGGATGATGCAGGGTTCCCTGGCTGAGCGAGACGCGATCCGGAGGAATCCTCCACAGGTGTGCTATGGAGAAGTTCACGAGATCGGCGAACCATGGTCTCCGCGGCCAGTATGGGGCCACTAGAAGAATCTCCGCCCTCTCCTGAAGGAGCTTGTGGACGACCGCCGGAATAAGAGGGAGAGGAGGAAAGGCGTAGAGCAGTCCCTCCGTCCTCGGACTCTGGAGAGCATCCGCCCTTTCCGCTCCTAGGGATGGGAATCGGGAGAAAAACCTCGGTAGATGAGAGTTCGCTGGGGAGGCAAACAGGTCTATTATCGGTAAGCCAAAGCGGTTGGAGATCTCCCTGAAGAGGTCCAGATGCAGACGCCATTCCGAGTGGTCCACTGTCGACCTGCTCAGGAAGTCTGCTTGTCTGTTCGCCTCCCCTGATATGTGGTCGGCCTTGATGGAGGCAAGGTTGGCCTCTGCCCAGGAGCCCAACAATTGGGCCTCGGTCATGAGGGCATGGGATCGGGTACCCCCCTGCCGGTTCACATGGGCCTTTGCCGCCACGTTGTCTGTGAGGATCAACATGTGACGCCTCGCGACCTTGCTGCGGAAGTGACGGAGTGCCAGGTATATGGCCCTGAGCTCCAACCAGTTGATGTTGTGCCTCAGGTCTGAGCAGGACCATCGGCCTTGGGCCCACTGCGACCGAAGGTGCACTCCCCAACCGAACAGACTGGCGTCGGTCGTGAGAGTGAGTCGATTGTGTTCCTTGAAGGAGGACCCTCTGGTCATGGCTGGAGAGAGCCACCACTTGACAGATCGCAAGGTCTGATGAGGGACTCTTACCCTTCGATTGGAGGAGCTGGTGCCCTGCCCTTGGAAGGGGAGTAGGAACCATTGGAGGTTCCTGGAATGTAGCCTGGCCCATGGAACAATCGTTATGGCCGATATCATTTTCCCTAGTAATTGGGAGAGGATGGCCAACGTCACTGTCCGGTCTCTGCATATGTTGAGGACCAACTCCTGGATACTGTCCCGGCGTTCCTGGGACAGATAGACCCGGCATCCTACTGTGTCTATGATGGCGCCTAGGTGCAATAGCCTGGTCGTGGGAACTGTATGGCTCTTGGGAAAGTTTACCGAGAATCCGTGGTCCTGGAGGACCTTTATCACCAGCCTGAGGTCTGACTGGGCGGCCTGGATTGACGACGACTGGATTAAGATGTCGTCCAGGTAGCATTGGACCCTGACCGGCACCAGTCTCAGGTGAGCGGCGAGTACCGCCAGAATCTTGGTAAACACTCTCGGAGCTGAAGACAGGCCGAACGGGAGTGCCCTGTATTGATAATGGTGACCCATATACT